TTTATTTAGAAAAAAAAACTAAAACCAATACTGAAACTAATAAAAACTTAACTAAAACTAAGTTATTTCAAAATAAAGAAACTAACAAAAACTAGTAAATATGCCTTTAAAAACTAATTAAAGCTCATTTGAAAACAAAAAGCCAAATTAAAAAGTCATGAAACATCCAAAACTATTATAACCTTGGCAACACCTGGTTCCTGGTTTTCTCGATTTATTTATTTATTTATTTATTTTGTTGTTTGTTTTTGTTTTTGCTGTCTGGTAAAGTTTGTTTATGTTTGGAATGTTTGGAATTTTTTGGGGATTTTTTTTTTCATATTTTTGCAGTAAATAACTAAAGAATTATGCCTCATGTTTCATTGGCAGTTTTATTGATCTCGTTTAAGTAAAAACAATACTTATTTTTACTTGTTGTAATTGTTTCTTGTCTTAAAATGCTTCTTGATTTAAGAATGTTTTGATCTTTGGACTAGAAACAAGAATAAAAGCATTATTTTGCAGTGTACGCATCCCAGAATAAAGTCTTGTCGTCAACCTAATATTGTTTATTTAGCGTTAGATGCTTATCTTTGCAGTAAACTCGACATGAGCACAGGAGAAGGTGCAGCTTTGTGTTTTTGTCTGCAGACATTGGCATCATTAGCACAGACAGTATAAAGCATCGTCTCCGTTTTCCAGTTGTTATTCGTCTTCTGCTTATTTCTTTTCCATTTTTTGCTCCGGTAAACAGGTAAAAGGTTCATTTCACACCAGCAGAACAAGCTTTTTACATGACTGCGGGTCGTGATGAATTATAATTGAAGCTAATGCGTAATGGCCGAGCCAGAAGAAAACTAAAAACACACACGAGCTCCGCGTTCGCTCATTAACCAGCTGCTGAGTGTGGAAGCAAAAGGACATGTGCCCTGTGCAGAAACAAACACTGGAGTTTTGTGTGTGTGTGGGTTTGCGTACGTAGTGTTTGCATACATTTTGAGAGTGCATGTTTTGAGTGTGCGTTTTGTGTGGGCGTTTATGGAATAAAATCGCTGTCATAAATATTTTGTGCGTAAATAAAATTCACACATCTGTAATTATAAAAACATATAGGAAAACGGAGCGTACTCGTAATTTTAGAACAGACACAGATACGACATTTTCTTTGTCTGTTTGTATACGACTGATAAATTTACAATGAGTGTGTTTTACAAACACGAAACACAGTTTCCCTACGGACACGACAAGCTGATTAAGAGTACGAATCGAAAAGTGACACTCCACTGTCAAAATGACGTCACCGCTGTCACAGGCATTAATAAACAAGCGAGTGTCATCAATCACAATGGTGCGCTTGCTGGGCACTTGAGTTTTGTTATTCCCCCTTTGAGAAATGTCTGTCTGGAGCTGCAATAAAGGTGGAGACTTACGCCCCATTAACACGAGGAGTCAGCTTCAGCGCTTTCTATTCACTTCGGTGACGTCAGGCATTGCCGAACTGCATTGTGGATCCGTCGACGCCGATTCAGAGGCGTTGCTCGCTGCAAAAGTGTCGACTTGCTTAACTTTTTAAGCGCCAATGGAAGTGTCAGCCAATCAGATCGCTTTATGCAAAAACACCAGCTCAGACAGTAGCCAGTTGCTGACTAATTGCATTGGCTGACGCTGCTATGATGATCGCGTCACCCCCAACTTCAGACACGCCTTCTGTCAAGCATTGACGCTGAAGCCCCGTTTGAATGGGGCATTAATGAGGCCCATTTTCGCTGTGTTTTTTTGGACATTTTACAGAAACAAAATTAAGAATGGGCCGAGGATAGTGAGTATGATGCAGAATTTCTCAGTGAGTCACTTATCTTTATTTTTCAGCCTTCCTAAAGCACATAAAGCACAGCTACTCTCTCAATAAAATCCTTATTAGCCACCTGCTCCCACCGCGCGGTCTTTAATTTCTTCTGCAAAAACACTAGTTCGTCATCACTTTCGTCCGCGATAACACCATCCACCTCCACCCATCAGTCCTTACTTTTGTCTGCGATAACACCCCCCGCCCAACCCTCCATCTTTACTTTAGTCAGTGATAACACCACCCACCCCACCCCTCGGTCCTTACTTTCGTCCACGATAACACCACCTGCTCCCACCACTTTGTCTTTACTTTCGTTTGCGATAACAACACCCCCCTACCCCCCCCTAAACTACCCCCTACCCCCCCTTGGCCTTCACTTTTGTCTGTGATAACACCACCCACCCCCACCCCCACCCATCAGTCCTTACTTTCGTCTGCGATAACACCCCCCGCCCAATCCTTCGTCTTCACTTTAGTCTGCGATAACAACCACCCCACCCCTCGGTCCTTACTTTCGTCCACGATAACACCACCTGCTCCAACCACTTTGTCTTTACTTTCGTTTGCAATAACACCACCCCTTTACACCCCCCTAAACCATCCCCCACCCCCCCTTGGCCTTCACTTTTGTCTGTGATAACACCACCCACACCCACCCCCACCCATCAGTCCTTACTTTTGTCTGCGATAACACCCCCCGCCCAATCCTTCATCATCACTTTAGTCTGCGATAACACCCCCCACCCCCACCCCTCGGTCCTTACTTTCGTCCACGATAACACCACCTGCTCCCACCACTTTGTCTTTACTTTCGTTTGCGATAACACCACCCCCCTACACCCCCTTAAACCACCCCCCACCCCCCCTTG